TTGGGCAGTAAGTTTTTCATTAATACTGATTCCTGGAATATTATATAATATAATATATTATATAATATAATATATATAATATAATAATATATATAATATAATATATTATATAATTATATATATAATATAATATACTCATCGTAATCATTAATCGTGAGCATGATTTCACGTTAGTTATAGTCGTTATAATCATAATAATAATATCACGTTCGTTATAATCGTTAATAATTAATCAGATTACTCGATTACACAATAATCGTAATGATTAATCGCAAAGATGATTTCATAGTGATTACATTAATTAGTTAGATTACTTTTTGCCCGACTCTGGTGTGTATCATATGAAAGGAACAAATGTCGCAACGCAAATGGTGAATTCCGAAAAGAAGGAGAAATCACATCAAGTTGAAATAATTGAAAAATGCATCTGATTTTATTGCATTCCTTTTGAGCTTTTCCAAAATCCCGTCACGCGGGGAAAGTGAAGTGGACCCTCAACTTTCTACACACATCGCGACATCACAGTACACTGCAAGGAAAATCAGAAATTTATTTATTTCCATAGTCATAAGATTATTCCTCGTTATACCTAATCTAATGCTCCAACATCGACGAGGATAATGATTTCTCTCATATCCCGAGCACATTATCACTCTCGTCTACTGTTGCAAATGAACTATACAGAGTTTTACCAAATATTTCTAAGGATATAAACATCGCTTTTATCGAGGCGATCATTCTTCAATTTAATTTTCAACCATTACAATCTCCAGACGAGATAAAATAATCAATGTACTAGACATGTTCTGAGAGAAATTATGAAATTAATTTATTCGTATACACATAAGGTGTATTATAATAGTACGAAATATGTATTAATAAATAAATTCTGTGATCTTCATAAGATAAATATAAATTCTCGTAATCTTTCTGAGATATTTCAACTAAATTCATGTAATTTTCCTAAGATATTATAAATCAGTGACTTGTAATTCTACATTTGCATCTTACATTTTGCATCGACTTAATCAATATTGTAATAAATTGAAACTGACGTATCCATATTCCGAAATTCTTTTAACGTTTCACAAATGCATCATTTGTAATTTGCTTCTAAAAATCAAGACTTCAAGATCGAAATAATTTCATAAAATCAAAAGAATTATATTTTCGCAAGATAATAAATGAAATTTAAAGAAATCGCAGCGTCTGGACGATGACTTCCGATAAGTATATGTAATGTTCGTGAGTAACATTTGGTAGAACTCGAAGTTCGAGCATTCTACATTTTGCTGGCTTTGCATGATTCGTTGGAGGTGTTGTCAGCCATATAGTCATCGATTACTATCGATAATGCATCTGCATTAACGATAATACCCATTTATCGATAATATCGGTTAGATGTCGATAATTAAACGTTCAGAATAGCAACAGTACGAAGGAAGAAAGTGTTTAATCTTGCTATTTGATGTCTGCCACTTTGGAAGTGCGATTTAATGCAAGTGTTGTTAAACTAGGTACGAATTAACATACATTAACAAAATTGCGTACATTAACATACATTAACATTTACAAAACCACGTTGCATCTGAAGTTATATTTAATAAAAATAAACTCTACCAGCTTTTCTCCGCTAGTTATTTTTCTTGTATGTTATTAAATATGGCAAATTTAATTATCGATATTCTTACGATATCATCGATATTCTTGTTATTATAACCGATATGCTCCACTGCTTCTAATATCCTACTTTATCACGATAATTACCAGCGAATGAAAATATAGCTAGAAATGAAATCGAAGAAGCAGGAAACCTTTCGCGTTTAGTCCTCTTTCGAACACTAACGCTCGCACGCTATTTTTATACAATTATCGATGGACGTTCTCCGCTAGAAACGAACAATGTTACCTGACGATCAATTTATACAGTGTAGAACAGCACCAATTCGTACAATCAGCACCAACAATCAATAACGAACTAATCGGATCACATTACGGCACCCAACTATAAACACTGCTACTGCTTCCACTATTCAAATCGCAACATTCATCCCATGGAATTTAATTATTCTGTTAATTAATGTCTTAATGAATCAGTCGATTCGAAATATGTATTTCTTTTGATGCGATATCACGTTCAAAGAAACAGTAGACAGTCTCCACTTGTACATCGAAGAACTAAAAATTAAGTAAATATCGCTAAATTGTTAATTTTAAAACGAGCGTACGTAATTCGGAGAAATATTCGGTTGCATGTGAAATTTTCAACAATTTACGCTACCGGAGGCACAGAATTAATAGTGATATGTCTAATTCAAGTTTAATAATTTTCTTTCAAGTAACAATCCTAAAACGTGTTGATCAAGTTGCTGTAATTATTGAACAATTTATTCTGATATTTTCAATTATTTATAACGGCTGCCGGTAGATAAAATTGTCAATGATCAAAAAGAAAATTTTAAACATATACATCTCGCGAAATTGCACTGCTACATATACACCTCCACGCATAATTTCCACATATAGGTTACATCGTTCTTTGCCATAACATTTTGCTTACTTAGACTTATGTTAACAGAAAACTTGATATCACCGTCAGTCTCAAAAGCCTACATACTTGACGAAGGTAATAAAACGGTTCATGTATTGCTGACATTTGTTAATTTATTACTTAAAATTAGACAATTAGAAAATAAATAACAATATTTTTGAAATAACAAAAATTAATATTACAATAACAATAACTAAAATGCAGATTTTATGCATTTATTGGAAAACTGAGTAACTAAAATTTTTTAAATTAGGAGTAAAGAATCTTTGATTCTTTCAAAGATTTTGGAAGAATCAATTTAATTACAATAACAACTTTTCGATTTATTAAAATTATTAACGAATCAAACAATTTTTTATTTAATTTCTGTTCTTACA